ACTTTTGATAAGCTTAAAGGCATGTTAATTTCTACCCCAATAATGCAGCCCTCTAACTGGACTCTACCTTTTGAACTAATGTATGATGCAAGTGATTATGCTGTAAGTGTTGTATTGGGATAAATAAAAGATAAGAAACCACATTTCATTTACTATGCAAGTAAAATTTTGAATGATGCTCAAATGAATTATTCAACAACTGAAAAAGAATTGCTAGTGGCAGTTTTTGCTTTGAAAAAATTTCGTCCTTATCTTGTTGGTTCTTCTGTTACTGTGTTCATTGACCATGCAACATTAAAATTCTTGCTTATAAAGAAGGATGCCAAGCCTAGACTCTTAAGATGGGTACTTTTACTTCAAGAGTTTGACCTAGTTATTAAGGACAAAAAGGGTGTTGAGAATGTGGTGGTAGACCATCTGTCCAGATTAACTTATGAATTTTACGAGGATGGACTGCCAATCAATGAAAAATTCGTCAATGAACAACTATTCATAATTGATGAGACCCCATGGTATGCTGATATTGCTAATTTCCTTGCTATTGGAACACTCTCACTGTCTTTCTCCCCCGTGGACAAAAAAATTTTTTTGAGGGAGGTTCGTAATTTCTTTTGGGAAGATCTGTACGTATTTAAGTACTGTAAGGATCAAATCATAAGACGTTGCATCCCCGCTTAGGAAAGCAGACAGGTAACAACCATTTGCCATTCTGAAGCATGTGGTGGCCATTTCTCCTCAAGAAAAACCGTTGCAAAAATCTTACAGTGTGGAACCTTCCTACAACTTTCTGGGATAGGAAGAAATATATGGTAAAACTTCCTTAAATTAAAGGATTTAGTGAACAAAATATCCCTACTAAGTCAAGATCTATCCAAATGAACCATGAAGTAATGAAAATTTGTAAAATAGAAATTTCTGAGTTACTAAAACCTGGTATCATTAGAAAAAGCAAATCTCTTTGGTCATGTCCAGCTTTCTATGTCATCAAAAAGGAAAAATTAGGAAGAGGAGTCCCAAGGTTAGTCATCAATTATAAACTTTAAATTCTCTGTTGGAATGGATTAGGTACCCAATTCCAAACAAGCAGGATTTAATCAAAATATTAAGCAATTCAATAATATTTTGAAATTTTGATTTGAAAAATGGCTTATGTCAGCTTTTAATAACCCCAAAAGACATATATAAAACTGAATTTACCACTCCCTTTGGACATTATGAATGAAATGTAATGACTTTTGGATTGAAAAATGCACTTAGTGAATTTCAAAATATAATGAATAAAGTCTTTAACCGAGTAAGTCATTTCTCTATTGTCTACATAGATGATATCCTCATCTTCTCTTAGTCTATAGAAGAACATTGGAAACACCTTAATGCCTTCTTAGAGATAGTCAGACACAATGGTCTAGTCATCTCTTCTAGTAAAATTAAGTTGTTTCAAACCTTAGTCAGATTTCTTGGATATAATATCCATCAGTCAACAGTTGTTCCCATCAGCAAATATATTAGAAAAATATATTTTGGAAAAAGATGTACAAAACATTGTTAGTAAGCAAATTTTTGCTAGATGGCAATTTATTTTTAAGTATTTTTTATTTTGACATCGAATATACTAAAGAAAGTAATAACTGTATCCCTGATTTCCTAACCCGTGAATTTTTGCAGGAACCTCATGGCAGACAGGAAACCTAGTAAACCTAGTACTTCCTCCAAAAAATTCGGGAGGGATACTAGCAAGCAATTAGCCTTACCAAGTCCAAACCCAAAGCCCAGTCAGACCAACATACCAATCCTCTTTAGTGAGCCCAGGCCTTTACCAAGCTAAGCAACAAATAGTTACTGGCCCATATCAAGCCCAACCTATATCCTCAGTTAGGTCCAACCAGTTCACCAATCCTTACCCATCAAAGTCAATATATCAAGGTCCAAGAACCGAATATGTACAAAAGCCAACAACATATAAAATATTTGCTATTGAACCAACCCATGCTCACTTAATTAACCCCATTGACTTAGTCAATGTCTATCTTGACCCAGCATGGACTTTTATCCCTTTGGATCCTGAAAAAACTTTCACATTTTATCAGGATATCCTATTTCACACTTAGTTAATCTTATCAAATCTATCCCTGATAGGAATGATCCCAACAAAATTATATATCATTCTTTGTATATACAAAAGTTCATTTCAACAAAAGATTGGGGACCTCACCCTTCTTTACTCATAGATCTTCTAGGACATAGCAAGCAGTTTAGCTACTCTGACTACAAAGAGTCATGGTTTAAACTGATCCTCCATCAGGATGAATCTTATGCTCATTCCTGGTTCATACAATTCAGCAAGGAATTCAAGAGTCAAGTTCCTTCTTGGTTTTTACAGTGGTGGCAGGTTCATGGCCCCATGCTTGAAATCCTTCCACTTGATCTTCAAGATCAAGTTGCCTATTTCTCCTCCTGTTTTAAGGTTAGTCAACTTGAGATTTAGATTTCAATATCATTATTATGTATAATTAAATATAAGGTCCCTTGGATATGCAAGTGGGACTACAATGTCATATCAAATACAGTGGTTCGACAATATTATGTTAAGTGGTGGCCAATGATCGATCACAACCATATTATTTCCCAAGTTGAAAAAGAGTTCCCAGTCCAATTTCCTACTCCAGTCAGGATTAAAGGAATAACTATCAGTACTCCAGCCAAGCAGGTTATGCCAGCCTTGAGAGTGTCTTCACCAGAAGTCCAGGCATCACCAACAAAGCAAATCAAATCCTCCTCTAAGGATTCCAGTAGAACACATAAGAAGAAGTCATCTAAGCTAATTAAACTAGCATTGAAACTGCTTCAGCAAACAACAGGTCAAGAAGATAACAACTCTTTTGCTTCATCACAAGCATTAGTCAACCTGTCTTTAGATCCCTTCCAGGATGCCCAAGACCCCAATGATGCTTATGATTTATTCAGTCCTTGATTCATATCACTATGTGTAAAAAATTTCATTCACTACTTTCTTCACTTAAAGAAAGAAAAGTTATCTTTTGTACACCCCGAAGGAATCATCTAGCAATAAGGCTACTTTCCTCAATAAAGCAGCCATCAGTCAATTATCTATTCCACCAAAAGCAGATTCCAAGCCAACATCAGAGGCCCAACTATCACATGCTCATGCCTAAAGTCAGCATTTACCAAAGTAAAAAAGATTCACTTCAACCTTTCCACCGAAAAGCAAAAGTGAAAAATATCTCACCCAAGTAAAAGCAAGTTACTTGAGTTAAAGTAGCACCATAACTCAAAGGAGAAATCATTTCAAAGATTCTCTATAGAAATCCTTACGCCTATATAAGGACTTCAGTCATTACTAGCAAACTAGAGCCAATTTTGAATACAAAATTTTCTCCTCTCTCTCTCTCTCTTATCTCTCTTTGTATCCAGTTTTCATATGATGCAACAAAAGATTTTCTCTCAGTAAATTATTTGTAAGTTAAATTCCAGTTAATTTCAATACTTGTAATTTCAGTTCTATTTCTGCAACATTAAGTTTACTACCGTTACATTGAATATTGACATTTCGGAAAAATAGTAACACTCAATATTAATACATACTCATAAAAAAAATAGTAACATGCTCAATAAAAAATAGTAATATACTCAACAAAAAATAATAATATGCACAACAAAAAAATAGTAACGTAGAAAAAAAAGAGTAACATGCATAGTAACATTCAATATTAAATTAATCATAGTCTTCTTAGCAAAAAACAATGAGATAGAGAGAGAGAGAGGAGAGAGAGACAGTGAGAGACATAGACAAAGACAGAGAAATGGTAGTGATGTCAAATTTAAATTTGAATTCAATTTTTATAGAAAAAAATATTTCATTTATTGTGAATTAAGGATGACTATTTAGGATACTAATTTAATGTTGAATGACATTTTGGAGTTTTAAAAAAATAGTGGATTTAACTACTTATTAGTAAGATTAAAAATAGACTTACCCACAAATAAGTTTTCTTGTTGGACTAAACTCATTATAAGTTCCTTAAGAAGGACTTAACCCTAATTTTCACTTGTTTTAAATCCATTCGTATTTAAGTGCACCAAAAAAGGCTTTAAGAATTTAAGTCCAATGAAAAAAAAAATTGATTGATTTGGGTCTATGAATCAGTTCACAACATTAAAAACTCAAAAAAAAAAAAACTTTTCTTAAAAAAATTGTAGAAGCTAATGGTTGAAAAAAAAAATCCATTTACATCTCAACTCAAAACACACCACTCGCTCTCTCTATCTATGTCTCCAAAAACAAAAACACAAAGCATATATTCAAACAAAAAATATTTAATATAATGGTGATACTATATCAGTATTGTCACGTCATATTACCGACCAATAGTATGTAAACAATTAATAAAATAGACCCCATACTAATTAATAGCTACATCTCAATGTAAGTCAATAATTATACACTCTTCCTTCATGTAAGCCAATAACTATCCAAGTGTAGTTTACCTTCTTACCCATTTGATGTTTTATTATTGAATGAGGATACCATCTGACAATGCTGACATAATGTCACCATTCATTAAATATTTACTCCTCTCTCTGACACTAATGCCCCCTCCTTAACCTCTTTATGGTGTAAGAAAACCCTCATTTCATTCGGTATTTGTCTCTCTCTCAATGTTAACAAGCCAAAAAAACCCATCCATTTCTCTCTTTCTCTTTAACAAGAGATAAAAACCAACAAAACAATTTGATTTGGTTTCACGTTTCTATAAAACATCAACCCCCCAAAAAAAATTCATTCAAATTCAACTTACAATAAGGTTTGGGGCTAGGAGATAATACAATTTTGCGATAAACATTGATAAATCATGTTGTATTGTTATATACCTTTAGGATTTTAATTTCAAGCTTGTATTATATTGTTTAGTCATAGATTGTGTTTGATAATTTGAACATATTTTGTTAATATTAAACATAAAAAATGAGAAGAATAAAATTTAAATAAAAATTATTAATAAAAAATAAAAGGCCGCCTCAAATTGTCTTGAGCCGACCTGCAATCAACTCAATCTAAACACTCGGAATTCTTCACATAGTTCAAAAGATGTTGCACAAATCTCCTGTTCGTCATAAGAGGGAATTGTACAATCTATGGACATAATCAAGCATCTAATCTATCGGAATGGAGCTAGAGGATTCGGACTACTTGGCATTTTTAAACTTCTAAGCTCTTTACAAACATGATCTAACATTCCCAAAAAGTCTCTGACAATCACAAATATTCGAAGTGGGTTGGATTCATCTTTGCCTTTGTCTCCATGAAAATATTCTGTTATTTGTCTAACATGTAAGAGAACTCTATGTTCATCTTCCTGCAATTCCTTCAGACTCTTGTGGGCATAATTGAGAAAGGATCTCATTGAGTGCACAAAATTCCCACTTTTTTCATCCATGCTCAAATCCTTGCCCACTAGATGTTGCAACTTGGTCATTCCCCCCGTTAGGTTTGAGACAGAGGTAGCAAGAACATCCAAGTCTATTGTGGCCGTTTTCTTCACATTGCACAGCTCAGTACTCAAACCAGAAACAAGTTCTAGGCCCATCCTTTTGTAATCTTCTTCTCTATCTTCGACATTTGTGCTTTTGTTTTTCTGATTGATCATCCCCATAATGCTATCTGAGACCCTGATTCCTTCTGATCGAACAATTTCTTGAACAACAAAATGAAGCAGTGTGGTTTTTCCATCAGTTCCTTTCACATCAGCAAGTTTAAGGAGGGCATCAAGCTTGAATGCTCTGGCTCCTCCTCTAATCGTTCCTACGTTCATTCTATTTCCTGTTTTCAGCACTGCTTCAAGTAGTTTTAAGAAGAGCCGACTTGATCTGAGTTCCTTGCAGGCCTCCTAAAACAATATCAGAAATGGTCATTTATGCGGTTCTGAAAAAGGTTAGTGTGGTACATTTTAGATTACCTTCTTACCTCTAGCATTGAGAAAGACTTCCTGAGATGAACTACCTCATCTTCAAAGGTTTCTTTGTAAAGCATAGCTTCAATCCTAGGAAAAGCAAAAGGTACGTTAAGCATTGTCTTAACAAACTTCTCTGCTGCTCCCAATTCGTTTATATCTCCTTTGTAGCTTGAAAGTTTAGATGCTTCTTCCTTTGTGGGTTCCATCTTCACCAATGCTTCTAGTTGTTGTAAGGACAAGCCTTTCCCTGCTTGTAGGAGATTGTCCAAAATAATGGCGAATTCAATGTTGGTGATGTTTTTAAAACTATGCGTGCCCATGTGCATGTATGATGATACACCCGTGTGCATGTATGATAGTACGACTGGAATCTGTGCTTGGAATGTGTAGTTAATGTTCAAGAGGTAGTCCAGAATGTATATCTCAGTGTTGAAGTTGAAATTTTTTCAAATTTCGGCTATTAGCCCACATCCATGACAATGTCTGTAAATGAAGTTTCTGTTAAGATCCCAACAGGTGGACTATGCCGCTCTACCATTACATTGCCCATAATTTTTCGAGAGACCTGATGCTAACGAGTCTTAGTTTGTGACATGGATCATAATTGTAAGTCTTTAGGTTAGTATGGATATGGGCATGTATAGCCAAATGGCATATGGATATGGTATCTCACAATGCAAATCAGCTCAAGATGCCCTTACAAATCAAACAGACGTTACGACTATCAAAACTTTAAGAGTTTTTACCTTGTATCAGTGCATCGCAGAGGATATCATCAGAGACATTCACAGCTTTTGAGAGTATGGTTATATTCTGTAGTCTCTTCGGGTCAAGGACATGCTTGCTTGGGGAAGGGGTTTTGCTTTTTTCTTTGTCTTTCTTCATCGAATTTTGTAGATTGTAACCAAAGAGTGACTCAATCATTTCCTCATCCAACCTGTTCCAGGCCTCACCAATTACTTAATTTCAAAAATACGAGGGAACAAACTACAAAGAAACAAAGTTACTTACTCAAATGAGCTCGATCTCAACTTGTCCCATACCATTGAACGATCTGGTGCAGCTCTAACTTTGTCCCAGTGCAGTGGTTTCAGTTTTGGCAAAGGAGCTCCATCTTTCCCCAATTGAATATACTGTGGAAGCAGAGATGGTGGAGGTGGTGGGCCTTTTAGAGAGGTACTATTCCCTTTTGAAAATGGAGGCAGGCATGGCGGCGGAGGAATTCCAATTGCAGGCTTCGGAGGTGATGGTGGCAAATCATTTAGGGGGGTTTGGTTTGATCCTGAAGAAGAATCTGAATTCCCAGGAGATGATGAATTTGGCAATGTTGAATAAGTCGAGGCTTTAGATTTCACTCCTATTGAAGTCCTAGAGTAAGAAGGAAGAATGTGTACACGTGGGAATGGAGGGGGTGGCGGTGGTAGAGAATATGTCTCTGTACTTGAAACAGAAACAGGGTTTGAGAAGGAATCTGGTGTCAGCAATTGAATTGGCAAGTTCATAGGGGATGCCAGGGGAGAAGGTGATACATTTGAGGCATTTGGGGAGAGAATTTCTGAGGTATCACTAAGACCGCAAGCTGAAGCATTAGAAAGCCATAGATTAGAAGAATGTGAATCGCAGACCGAATGGAAAGATTCATCATCAGATGAATGAGCTTCCATAGGAACCATTTTATCACATGTTGAAAAGTCACAACCATCAGGTTCACACTTGGTAGATTCCACTGTCTCATGAATAGATATAATTTCCCCACCAGTAGAACAGCTATCATTGTCAGATTCTGACTTAATCTCTTCTTGATCCAATTCTTCCTTCTCATGCAATGTAGAAGATGATGTGTTTTGATTTGATAATGTGTTCACAGTTTCAAAATTTGGTTTCAGGCAAAATTGTTGTGGTTCTAAAGCACTTCCTAATGAATCAATGTAAAAGAGGTCAGGGCCTGGATCAGAGCTTACCTTTCTCACTGCATTTTGAGAACTTACATACTTTGATTTATCTCTATTTCCTCCTCCGGTGCTGTAGACTGACACTGCACTCATTGATCTTTTTCTTTGTTTTTTGAATCTTTGGCAGATCCAGAAGAGGCCTATGACACAAAGTACCAAGGCACTTCCAGCTGATACAAAAACTGCTACTAAGATCCTTCTAACTCCACCTTTATCTCTATCTTCCTTGTGAATTATTTGAGGGGATCGGATTGGACGGTGATGAGGCGGGTAGTGATGCGAATGTACATGGATAGGAGGCACTGGAGTAGGAGCTGGAGCTTCAGATTCAATGGAGAGAGATGGGGCAGGTGAGGGTGACGCATATTCCAAATCACCATTGGATGGCCTCCTTAAGTTAGAGCTCTTCAGTCCAAGCAAAGCTCTGAACTTTTCCAAGATCAAGCCTTCTTTTTCTTCTCTCTCATCCTCACCTGAGACCTTCCCAATATGGCTCTCTTTCCCACCAGCAATGTTCTCCATGTAGTACACCTCTTGTAGATTGAAGTATTCTGGTGCATTCAATGAGGCATCCACAGTAAAAATGTGGATACAATTGAATGGTACAAGCATGAGGACGATGATGATGACCATATGGAGATTTTGAGGAGTATAATCCATATTTCCCAACCAAAATCATCAAGAAATCAACCCACCTTTCTCCATATAAATCTAGCTCTTCTATTACCTTTGCTTATAAATGCTGAAGTTTGTTTTTGGTGGTGGGAGTGCTGTGTAGTGAAGAAGATCCAATGCAGAGAGTCTTTAATGCTACTCCAAGGAACCCCTGAGGCTGGAAATTCTAGTTTACTGGGCCTTCTTTATTTTCTTCTGTTCATGTCCTCTTATCTCTTCTCTCCTCCATTAATTCCCACTGCAGAATGCTGTTAATGGGTACTGTTCATCAGCTTCTATTTTGTACACTTACTCAAATTTAGCATGATTATTTTCTTTATGTCATATCTTCAACTAAGCAAGAATCTGAGCAACTTTTTTTTCGGCTCTTCATAAGTCACACCTCACTATCTACTTGAGATTTAGTCATGGCTTTTTCAGAGTTGAAATTTTTTAGGATATTGAATCAGATTCATGGGTATTACATTTCAAACAAGCTTTATGTAGCTAAAAGTCATGAATCAATCTAGCTGAAAGTGTCTTGGTGGGCCCCAATTGGTTGGACTTGCCTTACTCTCAGGAGGGTGATAGTGTAAGTTTTCTCCAACCCCCACATTATTAAAAGGAGGGAGAGAAATGGTCCATCATTTTCTCATCTGATCTGCTTACTCTCAGATTATGTCTTCATAGTATGTAATACAGAAGGGGAGAAGGATGATTTTGCAGTGAACTAGATCATATGGTCTCTTTCACACACTCTTTATATCTCCATTTGCACTTATTATTGTCGGTCTTTTTAGTTGCACTGGTTTGGTGTTGTAAGATTTGGGATAATTTATCTCATTAACACCTTGAATTATCGAATTTTACCAAATTAATATTTAATTCACACTGTCATCGGGTCAAAAATATCTGCATGTGAGAAAAAGAAAAACAATATCACATAGTTTATGAACAAAAAGTGAAAAAAAAAATTTGTCCAATTTGAAATAAATGTTTATTATTAGGACGATGTGAAACCAATAATTAGTGTTATGTAAAAAACATAGCAGTTGTGTGAAGCAATATGGGACGAGGAACATAACTGAGGGTTTCCAAGGTTAATGTGTCCTAAAATTTGATTTTGGCACCGTACATGTAGACTATGACTTGCTGTTTGTCCAGGCCCAACCACATGTGTTTGTGTGTGTGTGTGTAAGAGAGAGAGAGAGAGAGAGAGAGAGAAGACTCTAACCGACAATATAGACATACACCATGTCAGAGACAACTAGCTTGGCTTGGCCGCTACTTGGAATCCCGCCATGCCATATCTTGTAATATAGAGGAACTAGTGAGGGACCCCACGTTGCAAGTGTTTTTATGCTGATGGGTCGAACCAACTTGGACCATCAAGCAGTCCAGTAAATAAGTTTGAGACTTTAACCGACTAACCCAGTAAATAAGTTGGACAGAGCCTGTTAAGATTATTTTACAAAATGGAAACCGAATTTGAGTCTATTTATCAGATAAGGTCCAAATCAAAGGATTTTTTTTTTTTTTTTTTAGCTATGAGACCCAAATACCTCTGTTTTTTTGGGTAAATTCAAATACCTCATAGTTAAATGAAAAAAAAGGCTATATAATAAGGAATTAAGTGTGCACAAATTTACCATTATTTTCAGTTATAAATTGCGTACCTCATTGTTTCAAAAAAAAAAACAAACAAAAATGTCACTAATTAGTGTTGATCTTGGAACTGCTGTTGAGACCTTTGCTTGTGTCTGGTGACAAATTTTTGATAAACTGAAGGAAAATTTTCTTATTCTATTGAGAAACCTTTCGACTATGAATTGAAATAGCAAAACCACATTATCCAAAATAACTTGATTATTTTACTTATCAATTATATGTTTAACTCATCCAAATCTTGTAAATAACTGGATGGTGAAAAGAGTATTCATGTGATTGATTCTAAAAATATTGGGACGACACTTTATTGAATTGAGTTATTCAAAATTTCTAAATACAACTAAATTTTGAACTCTTTTCTAATAAGAGGGGAGGGTGTAAGACACCATACAAAATTAAAGATTGATAATATGGTTTTAAGAGTACTTCTAAATGAGGATAAAAAGTTTGAATCATTATAGAAAGAAAGATTGTGAAATTTGAGAGCCTGTTTGGTTTGTGTTTCAAAACATAATATTTGAAAATAGTTTTTTAGAAGAGTTTTAAGAAAGTGTTTTTAAAAATTTTTAGATTACAAAACCTGTTTGGTTATATTTTTGAAAACAATTTTAAAGAACAAAAATTATAAAATCTGTTTGGACAATAATCACAATTCTCACCTTTCTCTTTCTTTTCCCTCTCTTTGTCTCCACAAAACACAATCACACACGTACACACGCAGACACACACACACAAAGACGTATACACATAGGCATACACACACACACACACACAAAAACACACATACACATAGACACAAACAACACACACACATACGCAGACACACAGATCTGTGTTTATACAAAGATTTGAGCACAAATCTGTGTAGATCTAGAGTTGTTGAGAAAGAGAGAGAGAGTGAGAGAGGGGCTGGGTGGTGAAGATGCTGGAGAAGAAAAAAAGAAGAAGAAGACGCTGAGCAGTGAAGAGAGAGAGGAGAAAGAAAAGAAGAAGAAGACGCTGGGCAGTGAAAACAGTGGAGAAGAAGATGCTAGGCAAAGTGGAGAGAGAGAGAGAAAGGAAAAGAAGAAGAAGAAGAAGACATTTTGCTGCTAAGGGGACTCGAAGGGCAGACCTTATTTAGCTTGTCTCCGTGTTTCCAAAATTTTCAAAGAAAACTGTGAAACCAAGTTTTACTTGTTTTATGTTTTTGTGCCCCAAATCTCATTTTTTGAAAATTTTGAAAACAACAATGCTAAGCAAACAAGTTTTGAATATTTTTAAAATTTTGAAAACAAAAAACTGTTTTGTAGATGATAACCAAACACGCCCTGAGTTTCACACGTATTGACTTTCTTGCCAAATTTAGTATTAAAGACATCTAAGTTTGAAAAGGGTATCTGGTTAAGTTTCTAAATATTTTAGGTCATAATAAGGCTACTATTGAATCCAAAAGGTCAAAAAACCGTCGTAGATGTGATATGGGATGTATTAGAAGTTTGAAAGTATTTCGGAGTTAAAAACATTTTGGAAAAAAATTGGGTAGGAAAGAATTAGCCACTACCTTAGTATTTTAGCCATACCTTTTTACCTTGATGTCCAATTAATCTAATTTTCGGACCGTAAAAACTAGAGTTGAAGGGTTACAACAATATATTTCATTGAATTTTACTAAATCGGCTTCTAACTAGATCAACATCGAGCCAAAAGTTGGGATAGAAAGCCACCAATGTTCTAACACCAATACTAGCGTTTGAATGCTTGACTAGACGAAGAATTGAGCAAAACTGATAAAACATAAGATATTGGGAGTGAAACACATTCGAATGCAACCTTTGTTCGAACGTGGCACGTTCGAATGCCATTCACGTTCAAACGTGAACAAGCATTTTACAGTAATCAGGCTCGCGCCAACTAAACATTTTTTACCCCATTAATACCCTAAGGATGTTTGTTAGGCTAGATTTCAACAACTTTCAACCCTAGGGATCCAAGAGAGGGTGAGTGGGAAAATAAAAAGGGCAACATTGTAAGGAATTAAAGCATGGAAAATGCAACAAACATGCTAGGGTTTCATTAAAACTACGGATTGAGGTACGAGTTCTTTCTCAAACTCATTTATTGAGATTAGGGTTATATAAGTATATGTTTTTCATCTCTATTACAATATAAATAATAGATTTATAATATTATCATTTGTTTGAATCCATTATTCGTTTCTTGAAATAAAATACATGAGATGCTTCCTAGATTTATTCTTACTTGATGAAAAACCTTAGTCGTTAATTTACAATTCTATTTGTGTTATCTTCGACATTTTATATTTCTTTTTAATATATGATTGAATTCTTGAATAAACACATGATTTACATCCAAATACAAGTTTTACATCAAGAATTATATGTTTTTGATAAAACCCTAGATCATGAATATTGTGAATATTCAGGTTTCTTATTACGATCTATTGCATGTTCGGCTTTAATCATTTTTTTACATGAGAATTGTGAAACTATGGATTTTGGTACACAAATTTTATGAAAAGTGTTGTATTATTTCTTGTATCGGTGGGTGTGAAAAACGTGGGTTATACTCAAATGCGTATCGTAGAGTGTTAAAGGTTTTTCTATCTCGAGGGGTTTGATGGTTGCCTAACACTCATAGGAGGTTTGCTTTTTTGCGAGGGATTTTTCAAATACTGAATGAGTCGATAGATGCCCTTCCTAAAGAGTTGTAAGTGTTATGACCTTGCAGGGGATTGATTTGAGATGATTTGTCTTTGTGATGGGTGAATGAGATAGGTTCGGTGTTGATGATGTATTTCAACGTGATGCAATTTTGTGATGACGAGTTAATGAAAGAAACAATATTGGAATTATTGAGATCTGAGCTACTAGACTCGAGAGAATGATACTGAGAATTGTTGGGGAGTTGGAGAATTAACACAGTAGAAATATAGTCATTTACCAGCTCGAGAGCTCGGTTAATCCACTCTTCAATGGAGATTCTTACTCATTCCTTCACTATTTACTATACCAAAAGGTTTACAGAATGTAAGATGTGATACTAGGGTTCTGCCCCTCTATTGGGGGCGTTACATAGTATTTATAGGGGTGACTCTTAATCTATGGGATCTGATCCGTGATCCTTGCCATCTATCCGAGGAATTCTCCTTGATCTTAGGAAAGTATCTTGGTTGGTTGAGAATTTTGTGCCTTGAGTGTTACTTTAAACCGCCTGTCGAGTTCTTTGTAGTATCCAGTTGCTTCCTCATTGCTTCAGCTTATTATCGCACTTGAGGGGAGCTCTAACTCTGATTTTCTGAGCTCTGCATAGCTCTGACTTTCTGAACTCAGGATACC